CTTGCCAACTTGTATAATGGTGTCTCTCATGGACAACTTGGAAAATGATGTCTCTCCTGGCCAACTTGTATAAAGGCGTCTCTTCTGGCCAACTTGTATAAAGGTGTCTCTTCTTGCAAACTTGTATAATGGTGACTCTCCTGGCCAATTTTGTATAATGGTGTCTCTCCTGCCGCACATGTATAACGGTGTCTCTTCTGGCCAACTTGTATAAAAGGTGTCTCTTCTTGCCAACTTGTATAATGGTGTCTCTCCTGGACAACTTGGAAAATTGTGTCTCTCCTTGCTAACTTGTATAAAGGCGTCTCTTCTGGCCAACTTGTATAAAGGTGTCTCTTCTGGCCAATTTGTATAATGTTGTCTCTCCTGGACAACTTGTATAATGGTGTCTCTTCTGGCGAACTTGTATAATGGTGTATCTTCTGGCAACTTGTATAATGTTTTCCCTCCTGGCCAACTTGTATAAAGGTGTCTCTTCTGGCCAACTTTTATAATGGTGTCTCTCCTGGGCAACTAGTTTAATGGTGTCTCTGCTGCACAACTCGTATAATGTTGTCTCTACTGGCCAACCTTTATAATTAATGTCTCTTCTGGCAAACTTGTACAATGGTGTCTGTCCTGGCCAACGTGTACAAAAGTGTCTCTCCTGGCCAAATTGTATGACGGTGTCTCTCCTGGCCCATTTGTACAATGGTGTGTCTCCTGGACAACGTGTATAATGATGTCTCAACTGGCCAACTTGAAAATAATATCTCTTCTAGCCAACGTGTATAATGATGTCTCTACTGGCCAATTTGTATAATAATGTCTCTACTGGCTAACTTGTATAATGATGTCTCTATTGCCCAACTTGTATAATGATGTCTCTAATGGCCAACTTGTATAATGATGTCTCTATTGCCCAACTTGTATAATGATGTCTCTAATGGCCAACTTGTATAATGATGTCTATAATGGCCAACTTGTATAATGATATATCTACTGGCCAACTGGTATAATGATGTCTCTAATGCCCAACTTGTATAATGATGTCTCTCCTGGCCAAATTGTATAATAGTGTCTCTCCTGCCCCACTTGTATAACGGTGTCTCTTCTGGCCAACTTGTATAAAGGTGTCTCTTCTTGCCAACTTGTATAATGGTGTCTCTCCTGGACAACTTGTATAATGGTGACTCTCCTGGCCAACTTGTATAATAGTGTCTCTCCTGCCCCACTTGTATAACGGTGTCTCTTCTGGCCAACTTGGAAAATGGTGTCTCTCCTGCCCCACTTGTATAACGGTGTCTCTCCTGGCCAACTTGGAAAATGGTGTCTCTCCTGGCCAACTTGGAAAATGGTGTCTCTCCTGGCCAACTTGTATAAAGGCGTCTCTTCTGGCCAACTTGTATAAAGGTGTCTCTTCTTGCCAACTTGTATAATGGTGTCTCTCCTGGACAACTTGTATAATGGTGTCTCTCCTGCCCCACTTGTATAACGGTGTCTCTTCTGGCCAACTTGTATAAAGGTGTCTCTTCTGGCCAACTTGTATAATGGTGTCTCTCCTGGACAACTTGGAAAATGATGTCTCTCCTTGCCAACTTGTATAAAGGCGTCTCTCCTGGCCAACTTGTATAAAGGTGTCTCTTCTTGCCAACTTGTATAATGGTGACTCTCCTGGCCAATTTTTTATAATGGTGACTCTCCTGGCCAACTTGTATAATTGTGTCTCTCCTGGCTAACTTGTATAAAGGCGTCTCTTCTGGCCAACTTGTATAAAGGTGTCTCTTCTGGCCAATTTGTATAATGTTGTCTCTCCTAGACAACTTGTATAATGGTGTCTCTTCTGGCGAACTTGTATAATGGTGTATCTTCTGGCAACTTGTATAATGTTTTCCCTCCTGGCCAACTTGTATAAAGGTGTCTCTTCTGGCCAACTTTTATAATGGTGTCTCTCCTGGGCAACTTGTTTAATGGTGTCTCTGCTGCACAACTCGTATAATGTTGTCTCTACTGGCCAACCTTTATAATTAATGTCTCTTCTGGCAAACTTGTACAATGGTGTCTGTCCTGGCCAACGTGTACAAAAGTGTCTCTCCTGGCCAAACTGTATGACGGTGTCTCTCCTGGCCCATTTGTACAATGGTGTGTCTCCTGGACAACGTGTATAATGATGTCTCAACTGGCCAACTTGTATAATAATATCTCTTCTAGCCAACGTGTATAATGATGTCTCTACTGGCCAATTTGTATAATAATGTCTCTACTGGCTAACTTGTATAATGATGTCTCTATTGCCCAACTTGTATAATGATGTCTCTAATGGCCAACTTGTATAATGATGTCTCTATTGCCCAACTTGTATAATGATGTCTCTAATGGCCAACTTGTATAATGATGTCTATAATGGCCAACTTGTATAATGATATATCTACTGGCCAACTGGTATAATGATGTCTCTAATGCCCAACTTGTATTATGATGTCTCTCCTGGCCAAATTGTATAATAGTGTCTCTCCTGCCCCACTTGTATAACGGTGTCTCTTCTGGCCAACTTGGAAAATGGTGTCTCTCCTGCCCCACTTGTATAACGGTGTCTCTCCTGGCCAACTTGGAAAATGGTGTCTATCCTGGCAAACTTGTATAAAGGTGTCTCTTCTGGCCAACTTGTATAATGGTGTCTCTCCTGGCAAACTTGTATAATTGTGTCCCTCCTGGCCAACTTGTATAATGATGTCTCTAATGCCCAACTTGTATAATGATGTCTCTCCTGGCCAACTTGTATAATAGTGTCTCTCCTGCCCCACTTGTATAACGGTGTCTCTTCTGGCCAATTTGTATAAAGGTGTCTCTTCTTGCCAACTTGTATAATGGTGTCTCTCATGGACAACTTGGAAAATGATGTCTCTCCTGGCCAACTTGTATAAAGGCGTCTCTTCTGGCCAACTTGTATAAAGGTGTCTCTTCTTGCAAACTTGTATAATGGTGACTCTCCTGGCCAATTTTGTATAATGGTGTCTCTCCTGCCGCACATGTATAACGGTGTCTCTTCTGGCCAACTTGTATAAAAGGTGTCTCTTCTTGCCAACTTGTATAATGGTGTCTCTCCTGGACAACTTGGAAAATTGTGTCTCTCCTTGCTAACTTGTATAAAGGCGTCTCTTCTGGCCAACTTGTATAAAGGTGTCTCTTCTGGCCAATTTGTATAATGTTGTCTCTCCTGGACAACTTGTATAATGGTGTCTCTTCTGGCGAACTTGTATAATGGTGTATCTTCTGGCAACTTGTATAATGTTTTCCCTCCTGGCCAACTTGTATAAAGGTGTCTCTTCTGGCCAACTTTTATAATGGTGTCTCTCCTGGGCAACTTGTTTAATGGTGTCTCTGCTGCACAACTCGTATAATGTTGTCTCTACTGGCCAACCTTTATAATTAATGTCTCTTCTGGCAAACTTGTACAATGGTGTCTGTCCTGGCCAACGTGTACAAAAGTGTCTCTCCTGGCCAAATTGTATGACTGTGTCTCTCCTGGCCCATATGTACAATGATGTGTCTCCTGGACAACGTGTATAATGATGTCTCAACTGGCCAACTTGTATAATAATATCTCTTCTAGCCAACGTGTATAATGATGTCTCTACTGGCCAACTTGTATAATGATGTCTATAATAGCCAACTTGTATAATGATATATCTACTGGCCAACTGGTATAATGATGTCTCTAATGCCCAACTTGTATAATGATGTCTCTCCTGGCCAACTTGTATAATAGTGTCTCTCCTGCCCCACTTGTATAACGGTGTCTCTTCTGGCCAACTTGGAAAATGGTGTCTCTCCTGCCCCACTTGTATAACGGTGTCTCTCCTGGCCAACTTGGAAAATGGTGTCTATCCTGGCCAACTTGTATAAAGGCGTCTCTTCTGGCCAACTTGTATAAAGGTGTCTCTTCTTGCCAACTTGTATAATGGTGTCTCTCCTGGACAACTTGTATAATGGTGTCTCTCCTGCCCCACTTGTATAACGGTGTCTCTTCTGGCCAACTTGTATAAAGGTGTCTCTACTTGCCAACTTGTATAATGGTGTCTCTCCTGGACAACTTGGAAAATGATGTCTCTCCTGGCCAACTTGTATAAAGGCGTCTCTTCTGGCCAACTTGGAAAATGATGTCTATAATGGCCAACTTGTATAATGATGTCTCTAATGGCCAACTTGTATAATGATGTCTCTAATGGCCAACTTGTATAATGATGTCTCTAATGGCCAACTTGTATAATGCTGTCTCTAATGGCCAACTTGTATAATGCTGTCTCTTCTGGCCAACTTGTATAATGATGCCTCTAATGGCAAACTTGTATAATGATGTCTCTAATGGTCAACTGGTATAATGATGTCTCTAATTGCCAACTTGTATAATGATGTCTCTAATGGCCAACTTGTATAATGATATCTCTACTGGCCAACTTGTATAATGATGTCTCTGATGGCCAACTTGTATAATGATGTCTCTAATGGCCAACTTGTATAATGCTGTCTCTATTGCTCAACTTGAATAATGATGTCTCTTCTGGCCAACTTGCATAATGATATCTCTACTGGCCAACTTGTATAATGATGCCTCTAATGGCCAATTTGTATAATGATGTCTCTCATGGCCAACTTGTATAATGATGTCTCTAATTGCCAACTTGTATAATGATGTCTCTAATGGCCAACTTGTATAATGATGTCTCTAATGGCCAACTTGTATAATGATATCTCTACTGGCCAACTTGTATAATGATGTCTCTAATGGCGAACTTGTATAATGATGTCTCTAATGGCCAACTTGTATAAGGATGTCTCTAATGGCCAACTTGTATAATGATGTCTCTAATGGCCAACTTGTATAATGATGTCTCTAATGGCCAACTTGTATAATGACTCTTTCCATGCAGTCTCGTGGATAGTAATTGGTATGTATGCTGTCATAAACATTCTGGGTATTTGTCTGTGGTTGTGAAAATATAAACCTCATGAACACTATATTAGTTCTTTACATTTTTTATTGCCTTGTTTATTACAGACGATGTATTATTATTATGACAGACGGTGGTAGTCCATCGAACGTGCTGCTGTTTACTGGAGAAATTCTGTCAAAACAAAAATAATTGTGAAAATGAACATGAATTACATATCCCTGGATAACATTCGTTTAAGCTTATTTTATTCACAAAATGTGAATAGGATTGGGTACAAGTTCTACAACTCAGGACACCTTCTCCGGATACTTACAGATATGGTGCACAGGTTGTACTGACATAAACAGAACAGGAGGAAAAAAAGATTAGGAACAGTGAACAGTGAGAAAAGTAAGTTTACATAAATATCTCTTTGTATTAAAACCCTGTCGACTTTTCATATTTACTGCCAAATGACCGTTCTGCAGTGTCTTGAACTCCTAGTCTACGTAAATCATAATTTAACTGACTTCCCTTACATCTAGGCTCAATGTGTAAAATATTATCCTTTCTATGTCCAAAGGACAAGTACGATGAGGCCTTGGGCTGATTTTGACTTACACTTGTCTTAAAATGTTGAGCTGAGCCACACATGAATGTTGGTTATTCTCATTTCGATACACGAGGTGTTACATGAAACAAGCCGTAGGTTACTGAATATGAAGTGGCTCACCTCCACAGACGCTAGGGATGACGTGGTTGACGCCGTCGGAGAGGTCGGTGAGGTCGGTCTGGTCAATAATGTAGTTTGTGTCGTGTGTTGAGCAGGAAGCAGCAAGGTGAGAGATGGTCGTACCCGGGACCACGGAGTCGTACACCATCACGTGGGAGAGCACAGCAGGCACTGGAGTGAGTGAGTGAGTGAGTGAGTATTTGGATGAGTGAGTGGGTGAGTGAGTGTTTGGGTGAGTGAGTGATTGAGTGGATATGTGTTTGGGTGAGTGAGTGTTTTGGGTCTGGTCGGGTGGGTGAGTGAGTGAGAGAGTGAGGGAGTGGGTGTGTGGTTGGGTGAGTGGGTGAGTAAGTGTTTGGGTGAGTGAGTGAGGGAAGGAGGGAGTGGGTGTGTGTTTGGGTGATTGAGTGAGTGAGTTGTAGGATGAGTAAGTGAGTGATTTAATGTGTGTGTGAGTGGATGAGTGAGTGAGGGTGTGTTTTGGTGAGTGAGTGAGTGTTTGGGTGAGTAAGTGAGTAACTGAGTGATTGAGTGGGTATGTGTTTGGGTGAGTGAGTGAGTGAGATGGAAGCAAGATGGAAGCGAGATAAGAAGAATATATTTTTGTGTACATGAATTATGACCAGCAAGAATTGGGCAGCATATTAGGAGAGACAGCTACAGCTCCACGTTATATATGGCTTCATATTCGCCATAGAGTCAAACATCAATATCAACTAGTTGTGCTAATCATAACAACGAAGACAAAGAGCCCCCATACAATCATAACATTCAAAACTCGGCAACTATCATTCCAACCATTCCATACATCCGTCCTGAATAGCAAGACGTTGGAGTTATCAGTCACCAGGCATAAGATTAAGTCTTCCCACCGTTGTTGCTGGTCCTAGTGGTGAGGCTGTGGCCGGCGGGGATGAGTGTTCCAGACAGGGCCATGTGCTGCGTCCCTGCCACTTGTCCATTGACGTACACAGTGACATTCCCTGACTGACTGTCCGCCTGTAGGGCCACATGTGTCCACTGTCTGGCCGGTAGCCGGACATCGGTCACTGCAGACGACCTTGACGGACATAAGATAGCATTGTAGTATGATCAATGAAGACAACCTGGGACGGGCGTGGGTTTAACATTGTAGTATGATCACTGCAGACAACCTGGGCCGGGCGTGGGTTTCACACTGCAGAACACCATTGATGGGGCATTGGATAATATTCTACTACTACTACGCTTGGAGCACAGGCCTCTTGTGGCAGTAAGCAGCATTTGTGTGTGAGATACTATGCTCCATCTAACTGTTACTGACAGCTTTGGTCACCTAGATGTCTGCCTTGGATCTAACTGGTACTGGAAGCTATGATCACCTGGTTTACTGCCCTGAACTTAACTGGTACTTTCGCAAGACATCCTGCTGACAGACAGAGGTGTGAATATCAGTTACTCCAGTGACCTGGGCGGACTGTCGTAATTACCTTCCAGCAATAAGTTCAAGAGACTTCCTGAGAACAAGCGCGAAAGACGTCGTCATTGTGAAAGGATCTTGCCACGTGGCAATGTCGAAGGACTCCGTAACGGTGTCGTACAGATATAACCACGTCACAAATGTCAGCTGACTCAGGGCCTGGGGCTGTGCCTTGAATATCGCCACACTATTGGCTTGCAGGGACAGGTCGAAGTCTGAGGAGAGAGAAGGAAAAAGCGATCGCCATTATCAATGTATTATTGTTTGAGATGAGATTTAATATGACTGTTCGAAACTAGTCAGACATGCCCCTATTTACTATGAGTCCACGACCGTAACTTAAACCTTCCTCTATCCGTAATACTAAATCGCATGATATTTGAATCTAACATCGGTACAAACTTTAAAACATCATGTCCCATTACAATGAAATATCTATTGCCATATCATTCTCTACAACAAGAAGTCTTGCATTTACAGTACCTGTGCAGTCTTCGTGTGCAGCCGACGCGGTTGACTGAGTTGTCTGCCCTTTTGGGCAGGAGGAGCAATGTTGGTTTCCTGGCATTCCTTGGAACGTCCCCATTGGACAGGGGCTGCACGGTTCAAGGCCATCAGGGGAGATAAAGCCGGGTTGACAGATATCTGTGACAAAATGTTGGTAACATTATCAGTTGTTATTATCTAAAGTATGCTATTTCCGTACATGAATGCATTTGCGTTGGGTTGAGTGAGTATGGTATTTCAGTAATATAACAACGGAGACATACGAAATGGACTTCACACATTCCAACGTGTCGGGAATCGAAACCTGGCCTTGACGAACAATTGCTCTGACCACTTGGCCACCCCACTTCATTTGACGACTGTGTTTGCCGATTTGCAACATAGTATAATTCATATCATTGTGTCAGGATTTAATCCTTTCAGCCGATGCATAGCCATCAATATGTTTGAATTTGAAAAGAAATCGTGCCTCTGCAATCTGACAGGTTTTTCGACCCAGAATCGGCCGTGGACATCCGATCCGGACATCTCGTACAGGTGACGCTGCTGTCTTGGTCCTGATAGCTGCCGACCGGGCAGTCCACACACTTCTGCTGGCTCGCGTCGAGGTGGGAACCTCTCGGACATCCAACTGCAACAAAGTAGACATGAATAAAGGACATTCCATAATTTAGTGAGTGAATGTTGTTTAACGTCTCAAGCAACTGTATTCCAGTTTGTTTGTTTGTTTGTTTGTAGTTTAACGCCGCACTCAGCAGAATTCCAGCTATATGACGGCGGTCTGTAAATAATCGAGTCTGGACCAGACAATCCAGTGATTGACATCATAAACGCAATAGGGATCGATGGCAAGCAAGTCAGCGAGCCTGACCACCCGATCCCGTTAGTCCCCTTTTCATGGCAGTATTCCAGCAATATCACGGTGGGCTATATGGATATTTGATAATCGTGCAGATCCGAGTTAGAATTTGAATAGAGTTAGCAACCCGTGTTTGTCATAAGAAGCGACGAACGGCATCGGGACGTCAAGCTCACACATATTCTCACATATTCGTCACTTTATTCAGTGATAGATATTGTGTTAATTAACTTATGAAATGTAGATATGTTCAGCATGCCTGTGCACACTTGATACCCTTCTGTCTGTACAGATGGGACAACCAGAGAACCTATGTACACACCACACATTCCTTTAGCCATGTCTGGCATCCTTCCCGTGGGGCAGTCCAGAGTGGCTGTCTGTGGCTCTACGTTAGCTTTGTCAAGCTTCAGTCCGAACTTGTCAAGACCTAATGAGTTATTCTGAGCCACCGTCTGTAGTTTCGCAGCCACAGAGTGAAGTCTCTGATCGTTGAAACCCAGCGCAGCAGGTCCAGTACCCTTACTCTCATCGTAGGCAACCACTACGTCAAACGTGATTGTGAGTGAGTCTTTGGATTCCCGTCTGCTCAGGCCTCGAGTCACCTTGCCGCAGGTTACCTGGACGTTGTCTGCTTGGCAAGCTGCAACATTGGTGCAAGACTCAAAGCCGTACTTGAGTGAGCTGGTGACAGCCTTGATGAAGTTGAGCTTGATCTGGTTCTGAACCCCGGGGTTGCCTGGACACGAGCCATTGTAGTAGAAGTAGGCTGGCATCCTCATCGTTGAGAAACCAGAGTATGCTGTAACCATAAAAAATGCGTCATTACTGTTACATTTCGTTCTATCTGGTATTTTCCGACAGAGAGCTACTGCAGATCATTGCAGATTGGGCCAACATTTAGAATTCAGCAACCCACATTTTACAAACATGTCTGCATATAATAACACGACATTCTTTATACTTACCAACACAGTCGGGAACTACATCTGTTGGCATCCACGTGCCCCGCGCTGTGCCGCACACGAACATGCCGTCATGGGGAGCTGAGCGGGGGAAGCTGAAGTTGCTGCTGCACTGCATCTGGCACATGCGTCCGTGCATCCACTTGTCACAAACCATGGCACCGTTATCCGGGGCTGCAAGGTCCGTGCAGTTTCTCTCTGACATCGAAAGTGAGGTTAAGAGTTATAAAACAGGTATTACATAAAAATACTAAAAGACGGCTTAATATTTACAAATATATGTATAGATGAAGTTTGGATTGAAAGTCCACTCCACCAACAACTCATGTTCTCTGCTAAGACGTTTTGTCCCGTTAAATTGTCTGAAATATGCTTGGCAGCCGTGGTACTCACAAGTTTACGCTAAGTCATTATTGTTACTCCATTTTAATATGTGGCTTATAAAGTTGGCAAATTGCCCTTAAAATTCTAAAATTGTCTTGGTAAGGATAAACCGCACACACAGCATATACAGCACATACCCCTCCCCACCATCAGATGCCCCTCCTCATCAGCAGATGCCCCTACCCACAAGCAGATGCCCCTACCCACAAGCAGATGTTCCTACCCACCAGCAGATGTTCCTCGCCAGCAGCAGATGACCCCCCTCCATCAGCAGATGCCCCTCCCGACCTGCACATGACCCTCCCCACGAACAGATGATCCTCCTCACCAGCCCATACCCCTCCCCACCAGAAGATGACAGTCACACCTGCACATGACCCTCCCTACCAGCAGATGACAACCTTACCACCATCAGATGACAGTTACGCCAGAGGATGATAGTCACACCAGCACATGCCCCTCTCTAGCAGCCGATTATGACGCCCCAACACCCACCCCAACCCCGCAACCAGCAGATGACCCCCCCCCCCCCCCCCCCCCACCCACACACACACACACACACACCACCACCACCACCAGATGCCTCCCCACCAGCCTACCCATGCAGTAGGGTGTGAGACCGCTTGTTTTGTTCCATGTCCAGGTAGCTACTGGAGGGAAAGAGGTGTCTCTCTCACACACGATGTGGTCGGGTCCGCCCAAGGGGTAGCCGGACTGGCAGGAGACAGGGCACACCGTCCCATACATGTAGTTGCTGCAGTCATACACCATCAGATTCTTGCCGCCCGGGTGGAGGTTAGGGTGGGGACACCTGATTGCTGGAGAGCAAACCATGGACACAGTATAAAGAGGAAGGACATGCGTGTGATTAACTTTGAGTGTGAAGTGATCTTCATACTCTGTTGTGTCAGTGTGAAGGTCTCCACATACTGTCTACTGTCATCGTGAACGTATCTTGCTACTCTCTACTGCCACCGTAACTAACACTACATCCTGTCTACTGTCATCGTGAACGTATCTTGCTACTCTCTACTGCCACCGTAACTAACACTACATCCTATCTATTGTCATTGTAACTAACACTGCATACTATCCACTGTCATCGTGAACGTATCTTCATAGTCTCTAGTGCCACCGTAACTTACACTACATACTCTCTACTGTCATCGTGAACGTATCTTGCTACTCTCTACTGCCACCGTAACTAACACTGCATACTATCTACTGTCACCGTAACTAACACTACATACTATCTACTGTCATCGTGAACGTATCTTCATACTCTCTACTGCCACCGTAACTAACACTACATACTCTCTACTGTCACCGTAACTTACACTACATACTCTCTACTGTCATCGTGATCGTATCTTGCTACTCTCTACTGCCACCGTAACTAACACTACATCCTATCTATTGTCATTGTAACTAACACTGCATACTATCTACTGTCATCGTGAACGTATCTTCATACTCTCTACTGCCACCGTAACTAACACTACATACTCTCTACTGTCATCGTGAACGTATCTTGCTACTCTCTACTGCCACCGTAACTAACACTGCATACCATCTACTGTCATTGTAACTAACACTGCATACTATCTACTGTCATCGTGAACGTATCTTCATAGTCTCTACTGTCACCGTAACTAACACTGCATACTCTCTACTGTCATTGTAACAAACACTACATACTCTCTACTGTCATCGTAACAGTATCTACACACTGTTCACTGCCACCGTAACTAACACTACATACTCTCTACTGCCACCGTAACTAACACTACATACTATCTACTGTCATCGTGAACGTATCTTGCTACTGTCTACTGTCACAGTAACTAACACTACATACTCTCTACTGTCACCGTAACTAACACTACATACTATCTACTGTCATCGTGAACGTATCTTGCTACTCTCTACTGTCACCTTAACTAACACTACATACTCTCTACTGTCACCGTAACTAACACTACATACTATCTACTGTCATCGTGAACGTATCTTGCCACTCTCTTCTGTCACCGTAACTAACACTACATACTCTCTACTGTCACCGTAACTAACACTACATACTCTCTACTGTCACCGTAACTAACACTACATACTCTCTACTGTCACCGTAACGAACACTACATACTCTTTATTGTCATCGTGAACGTATCTTCATTCTCTCTACTGTCACCGTAACTAACACTACATACTCTCTACTGTCACCGTAACTAACACTACATACTCTCTACTGTCACCGTAACTAACACTACATACTCTCTACTGTCACCGTAACTAACACTACATACTATCTACTGTCATCGTGAACGTATCTTGCTACTCTCTACTGTCACCGTAACTAACACTACATATTCTCTACTGTCACCGTAACTAACACTACATACTATCTACTGTCATCGTGAACGTATCTTGCTACTCTCTACTGTCACCTTAACTAACACTACATATTCTCTACTGTCACCGTAACTAACACTACATACTATCAACTGTCATCGTGAACGTATCTTGCCACTCTCTACTGTCACCGTAACTTACACTACATACTCTCTACTGTCACCGTAACTAACACTACATACTCTCTACTGTCATCGTGATCGTATCTTGCTACTCTCTACTGCCACCGTAACTAACACTGCATACTATCCACTGTCATCGTGAACGTATCTTCATACACTCTACTGCCACCGTAACTAACACTACATCCTATCTATTGTCATTGTAACTAACACTGCATACTATCCACTGTCATCGTGAACGTATCTTCATACACTCTACTGCCACCGTAACTAACACTACATCCTATCTATTGTCATTGTAACTAACACTGCATACTATCCACTGTCATCGTGAACGTATCTTCATACACTCTACTGTACATGGTAACGGTATCTGCACACTGTTCACTGACACCGTAACTTACACAACATACTCTCTACTGTCACTGTAACTAACACTACATACTATCTACTGTCATCGTTACGGTATGTACGCACTGTTCACTGTCACTGTGAAGGAAGACCGGCTCTACGTACTTTCTACTGTCACCGTGAAAGAACATGGTGTCTCGGCTTTGTTCCCAGCGTTGTCGAAGGCGTGGTAAGTCACCTGATGTACACCTTCGTCAAAGTGAGTCCCCCATGGATTGGATGTTGCCAAGACAACCCGAGCAGTCTTGTTGGTTGGAGGGTCACTGGCAGTGACAAAGGGCCATGTGACATTGGTGTGGTTGACTCCTCGGTCGGAGAAGAAGGTGAGGTTGAGGGGGCAGCTGGTAAAAACCGGGCGTATGTCATCTGAATCAAATGGAGTATACACTTACTGATGTGTCACCTAACTGTGAATAATAAAGATAGGTTTACCAGTAGCAACATATAACAAAAAGTAACAAAATCCTTTCAATGGCCAACTGCAATCTAACCATATGTGTATCGAACAACACATCCAGTGTATCAACTCCAATCTAGCCATACATGTATGTGTACCCAACAACAAATCCAGTGGATCAGCTCCAATCTAAACATATGTGTACTCAACACCACATCCAGTGGATCAGCTCAAATCTCGCCATATGTGTTCCAAACACTATATCCAGTCGATCAACTCCAATCTAGCCATGTGTGCACCCAACACCACAGCCAGGAGATCACTCCAATCTTGCCGTCTTTACCCAAGAACACACCCAGTCGATCACTCAACTCTGGCCACAACCTGTAAAAGCTGCTCACCTACACATGGAGCAGACTTTGTCCATGTCCTGTCAGCCTGACACGTGATGTGCTGGTCGCCGGTCCCAGGCCTGGATCCAGTCTCACACTTCAAGTAACATGCTTCTTTAAACTCATACTTTGTACTGGGGCAGGTGTACACACCGTCTGTTATGTTCTTAGGAGCTGGGCAGTGTACAGCTGCAAACAGCAGGTGAAATACAGGGTGAAACGTACGCGCATTTTGATACCTATTACTTTGCTGCATTTCTTCTACACGTATAATGATAATGTTATTGGAACTGCTCAGCTGAGCATAGCTGCACGTGTAGTACGTTTAGTACGTGTTGTACATGACATATCTCTCAAGAAAACATACGTCTCTGCATTTACATCTGTCATGGGATTCAGGCAACTTACGTTCACACTTCGGTAGGTCGGGACGGAAACTGCCTGACTGGTCACATGTGACAGTGGAGGTACCAGTCAGTTTGTAGCCAGCCTGACAGGTATACGAACACGTGTCTCCGATAACAGTGGACCCGGAAGTGTCGGTGCAGGTTCTGATACCGTTGACGATTTCGGGGGGTTTGCTGCATCGTGTCACTTGCAGAGACATTAAACACATCAAGAGACTCTTGCAGATTCGAGTGATAACAGTGTATGTATGATACAAATGTGTTCATGAAAACAATGTATGTACGAGTACAGTGTTTGCATGATAATAATATAATGGTGTTAAACGAGACTTAAAGACAAATGTATTCAGAAACATGTGTCCTCAGCCAATACCGAATGTGTCATATTGCTTTCAGATAACCATGCAGCTTATTGCCGTAACTACTGAAAATAAGTGTATGCTATATCTGAATTAGTCAGTGCATTCAAGCAGCATTCACGATTATTTGAGAACGAAAACTCGATACGAACAGTATTACCCTTATGATTTTAGATTGAGTCGAATGTTTATTAAACTGGTTCGGGGGGTGGAGGGTGGGGGTGGGGGGCTGGGGTGGGGCGGGGTGGGTGTTGGGGGGCAATGGGCATGTTGTAAAGATTAAGGACAATGGTTCTGGGAGGGCAGTGGGCGTGTTATGAATGTTTGTGAAACTGGTTCTGGAAAGGAAAGGGGCTTGTTGTAAGAATGAAATAACTGGTTCTGAGAGGGCAACCGGCGTATTGCACGGATGGAACATGATGGTTCTAGTAGGGTAGTGGGCGTGTAGAAAAATCATGAAATTGGAAAAGCAACGATCATTTTCTGAATATGTGTAAAACTTATTCTGGAAGGGTAATAGGCTTGTTTTAGAAGTTCATGGAACCGGAAGGGCAATGGGCATGTTGTAGAAGTTCATGGATCTGGAAGGGCAATGGGTGTGTTGTAGAAGTTCATGGATCTTGAAGGGCAATGGGCGTGTTGTAGAAGTTCATGGAACCGGAAGGGCAATGAGCATGTTGTTGAAGTTCATGGAACCGGAAGGGCAATGGGCGTGTTGTAGAAGTTCATGGAACCGGAAGGGCAATGGGCGTGTTGTAGAAGTTCATGGAACCGGAAGGGCAATGGGCGTGTTGTAGAAGTTCATGGAACCGGAAGGGCAATGGGCGTGTTGTAGAAGTTCATGGAACCGGAAGGGCAATGAGCATGTTGTAGAAGTTCATGGAACTGGAGGGCAATGGGCGTGTTGTAGAAGTTCATGGAACCGGAAGGGCAATGAGCATGTTGTAGAAGTTCATGGAACTGGAAGGGCAATAGGTGTGTTGTAGAAGTTCATGGAACTGGGAGGGCAATGGGCATGTTGTAGAAGTTCATGGAACCGGAAGGGCAATGGGCATGTTGTAGAAGTTCATGGAACCGGAAGGGTAATGAGCATGTTGTAGAAGTTCATGGAACTGGAAGGGCAATGAGCGTGTTGTAGAAGTTCATGGAACTGGAAGGGCAATGAGCGTGTTGTAGAAGTTCATCGAACTGGGAGGGCAATAGGTGTGTTGTAGAAGTTCATGGAACTGGGAGGGCAATGGGCGTGTTGTAGAAGTTCATGGAACCGGAAGGGCAATGATCATGTTGTAGAAGTTCATGGAACTGGAAGGGCAATAGGCGTGTTGTAGAAGTTCATGGAACTGGAAGGGCAATAGGCGTGTTGTAGAAGTTCATGGAACTGGAAGGGCAATAGGCGTGTTGTAGAAGTTCATGGAACTGAAAGGGCAATGAGCGTGTTGTAGAAGTTCATCGAACTGGAAGGGCAATGGGTGTGTTGTAGAAGTTTATGGAACTGGAAGGGCAATAAGCGTGTTGTAGAAGTTCATGGAACTGGAAGGGCAATGGGCGTGTGGTAGAAGTTCATGGAACTGGAAGGGCAATGAGCATGTTGTAGAAGTTCATGGAACTGGAAGGGCAATGAGCGTGTTGTAGAAGTTCATGGAACCGGAAGGGCAATGGGCATGTTGTAGAAGTTCATGGAACCGGAAGGGCAATGAGCATGTTGTAGAAGTTCATGGAACTGGAAGGGCAATGAGCGTGTTGTAGAAGTTCATGGAACCGGAAGGGCAATGGGCGTGTTGTAGAAGTTCATCGAACTGGGAGGGCAATGGGTGTGTTGTAGAAGTTCATGGAACTGAAAGGGCAATAGGCGTGTTGTAGAAGTTCATGGAACTGGAAGGGCAATAGGCGTGTTGTAGAAGTTCATGGAACCGGAAGGGCAATAGGCGTGTTGTAGAAGTTCATGGAACTGGAAGGGCAATGGGTGTGTTGTAGAAGTTCATGGAACTGGGAGGGCAATGGGTGTGTTGTAGAAGTTCATGGAACTGGAAGGGCAATAGGCGTGTTGTAGATGTTCATGGAACTGGAAGGGCAATGGGTGTGTTGTAGAAGTTCATGGAACTGGAAGGGCAATGGGTGTGTTGTAGAAGTTCATGGAACTGGGAGGGCAATGGGTGTGTTGTAGAAGTTCTTTGAACTGGGAGGGCAATGAGCATGTTGTAGAAGTTCGTTGAACTGGAAGGGCAATGAGCGTGTTTTGATCATTCACTAAAAGAATACACTGCAGATTCTGATAAGTCGTGTGTGATCTGTGTGAGTTGATCAACAGTATTCCTGTGCTATATCTTCAACGGTTGTTAACATGTAAGTGTTGATATAGTGCACGGGTGGCCTGGGCTCTTAACGCACGGCGGTTGGCAGTGCAGAGTTATGTCATGTAGACGTGCCAGACGCTCATGATAGTTGGTTCGAATACCAGTGAAAATGTTTGTATCACTTTATGCTGTATTCCCCAGTACATTGACACGTCGTGGTATGACTGATATATACTCACTTAATCAGTGGACTAAAGGCTCATCTAACAGGGACCAGTGTACAAACGTTTATATATTACTGCACATACCCTTGACCACGATAACGATGGAGCAGCTGCCCTTAGCGCCATGGCTGTCGGTGACGGTGTAGGAGATGGTGTGGGTGCCTTCACTGAATGTGGAGCCCGGTCCCTTTGACCCAACTAGATGTGGGCTGGATTGACGATGTAAAAAGTTAAGGCGATAATCCATGACATATTATTATTTTCAGGTTAATTTTTTTCGTTTGTCTTGTTTGTTTTGGGTGTTGTTTTTTGGTGTGTGCATAGATGTTATGTTGACATCCACACAGTGGACATCCTGACGGGTCCCCACATGCTGCGAGATACACAGACGTGCAGTCAAACATCGACACATATTTCCATATGTTTTGTTGTAATATTGAGAAGGAAACACAAACCAATAACACTAGCATACAGCTTTTTTATAATGCCTTCTAGACACGCGTAGTGGAAATAGAGAAAACTACACTCATTCTCGTTAGATACCATAGAAAGTTAACAAAATTCGTAAAAATGGTATCTAGCAAGAATGACTGTGGTATTTTCATTATTAGCCACGTTAAATATATATTTAAGTGTAAATACATAACAACTTTCGTTCGTTGACAGACCAAACTGAAACCGGTTGCTAAATCTGGTAGCGCATGAATATTGATATATGCCCAAATATGGGTATTGTTGATATTTCTATGCATATGCATTAACAACATGCGCCGGTGTCCTTGATCTATTCATCTATTCATGAATTAATAACATGTCAGTACCATTTTGGAACAGGGAAATTAGAGTGTTCGCCAAAGACATTCATGTTAACTGTACCAACCTATACTGAAAACTTGAAAATCAACAAACTCAAGTCAAACTTGCATGTCAGTGACAGCTTCGAACAAGGGGAAGGTCACCACCGGAATAAGAAAAGACAACAGTGATCTACTCACAGCGTTTTACGCGAGAGATATTATTGTTCATAGATATGTTATTGTTCACATTTAGGATATTTTGGGCCACATAATCAGAAATCAGGCACACTTCTACGGAGTTTTCGGATGATTTGTGTCTTTAAGTGATCTGGTCCCGAAACAGTGCCACAAAATACGCTTCGAAGGGGACACTGATGGCAACACCGGAGCATCCCAAGCAAGTCCAGATAATTTAAACTGACTTCAATTCACCACGCTTATCCATTTACGTTAAATCAAATTGAAAGTTGCGAAAGTGGTCGGGTGCGTCACTCTCATGGGGACACTCGATCTATTGATCGGTAGTCTCATTGTAAATGGATATAGCTCGATTATATAATGTCTGTAGAAACTCTATGCATAACCTATACAGAGTGCAAACCGAATGCGTATGACTATCTTGTTTTGTTTAATAAAGTGTTTGTAAATCTCTCTCTCTCATGAAATTCCTTTAGTTCTGCCTTGTATTTGCAAAATGAATGACGTCTCGCGATTTTTTATTAAATGAAAAAGAATAGTCCCGGTGAGACAGAGGTCACGGTTATCCAATCAAAACGAATAAAACGAGGTCAACCTTGTACGTCACACGTGTGACGTACGGGTTTAGTATCTCAACACCTATATCTTCACCTGTTGGGTAATACATGTGAATACGTACGTCAGGGAACCGTCTTCGTCGTCATACGCAGATGGCGTACTCCATGTCGCCACGGCAGTCAACGCCTTTGGAGAAGCAAGGAACACTTTCTGAGGATCACAGTTGATATGAGGAGCGTTGTTGTTTACAATTTCTTTGTGGTCGCCTGGAATAGAGTGTACAAGTGCCATTTGGGAGAAATAAAAAAAATACATGTCGATGTGAATCTACTGAGGTCACTTTCTGACTGCACATGTATTTATGAAATACATGACCTACTAGAGTACCAAAGCAAAAACGCGTCACAATTAAAGTACAGTGTTACCACAAAGTGTTACCAGACTGAATTTGTGTTCACGGCTTCTGGCAAACACCTGCGCCTGGCTGCCATGCAGAATATACTTACAGCCGCCACCAGTAAGTTCTTTGGCTGTACACTTTATGTCATGCCAGATATCTACAAAGAAACAAAATGAGGTCTACATGCTTACATGATGTATACTATTACCCGAATACCAGAAAAGTTATTTAAAGACACACAGATGTATTTAAAAACTCGATTATTCTAGAACTCGAAAACTCGAGCACGGTCTACCAAGTTGTATTAGACAATGCCCGATCGGCCCAGTTGTATGTGGCAACGTACGGTCTATCCATTAGTATCAGCTGCACATGATTAAAAGTCGACCCAGTCGTATTAATTGTGCATGCAGTTGACATATATGCCAAAAAGGAGGAAGACTAGAGAAAAGATCAGTTGAATGTATTTCTATGTTGATCAAATCCATTTGTAGCAAAGCTATTGGAAGGATTCACTTCACAAAATTCCTGTGATTCTCACAAGCCATGCTAAATTGCACGACAAACGTGCCATCATTCCAACATCCCGTATATTTGTAAGCAACGTTTATCAAATGTCTACAAAACGGAATTTGGCATTGATGGCCTAGTGACCCAACTCAGAAAGCCATACCATTGTCTGAAATGGAAATGTGTGAGAATCATGAATTCTGCGCACTGGTTGCACTTCTGCAGCATTTGAGAATAAATTCATTCCAACTTAATACTGAATTCAGAAGTTTTTCGAGAATCCACAAATGTCGAAGCAAACGTACCAGCAAAAGTACCATCCAATGTACCAGCACATTTACCACCAAATGTACCACTAAATGTACCGCCAAATGTACCAGCAAATGTACCAGCACATTTACCACCAAATGTACCACCAAATGTTCCATCCAATGTACCAGAACATTTACCACCAAATGTTCCATCCAATGTACCAGCACATTTACCACCAAATGTACCACCAAATGTTCCATCCAATGTACCAGAACATTTACCACCAAATGTACCAGAACATTTACCACCAAATGTACCACCAAATGTTCCATCCAATGTACCAGAACATTTACCACCAAATGTTCCACCAAATGTACCACCAAATGTACAAGCATATTCACCACCAAATATACCAGCACATTTATCACCAAATGTACCACCACATGTACCAGCACATGTGCCACCAAATGTACTAGAACATTTACCACCAAATGTACCACTCAAAGTACCAGAAAATACTCATTTAATACTGCCAGAGATTAAGTGAGACAGGTTGAGTTGATCATATATAGATCTTGAAAACTTGGAAATATTTAGGTGAAATAAAACACACCAGGAAAGTGTCAAGTATATTTTAAGTTTTTTTCACAATTTATAAACTATCCTTCATGTCAAATTGGTAGTATGTAACTGTTATACATTTTTAGAAACTCGCTAAAACAATTGTGATTATACAAAACCTGCATTGACGCCGTTAAGCACGGTGACGTGCATTACGACCTGTACCAGGAAGGCCACGGTCAACATCCTGTCAGTACACCTGCAAGGGAACATGAGTCACAGCACTTCAGCACATCATCAGCTCAAAGCATCGTCTCACCCGTGTCTCAGCTTACAGCACAATCTTACATCACAATGCACGGCACATCTCACAGCACATTTCACAGCACATCTCACAGCACATCTCACAGCACCAGCTCACAGCACATCTCACAGCACATCTCACAGCACATCTCACAGAATCAGCACAAAACACCTACTCATCTTAAAGTCTTGACATTTTCCAAGGTGACAGACCTCTTACTTTCCTTAATTGACTCAGACTTATGTGGATATATGCCTTCAAGACATCATGTAATGTCCACAACAAAAGATTTAACCAGTGTTTGATTTAGTCGTAATAAATTAGTAATTTACAAACATATAATTATATCACAACGATGGCTTACCTTAAAAGGAACCTTGGTCGCAATTCACGTGTGGACTCGGTGGTATTTCTTCATATGTTGTAGATCGAGGCGACACCAGCTGCTGGTTGACAGGAAGATAGTGATAGATTACTCGCATGCAGCAGCGACAAATCATGGGATTTCTTCGAGGTTTATGGAACCAAAGTAAATCTTTAAAGGGAATTTTCCGGGGATAGAAATTCTCAAACACACACATCAATCTGAAACCATATATAATTCCACGAAATAAAGCGAGCGAGGTATGGTATGATTTAGTGCAGATTTGATTTGCAAAAGCCAGTCTCGATGATATGCCGAAATAGATTTCACGGGTCGTAAAATAGTAATGGAAATGCTTTGAATGAATCACTCAAAATGACACCAGTAAAGCGACAGTGACACAAAACATAGAATGCAATGTACAAGTATTGACACCAGTAAAGCGACAGTGACACAATATATAACTAGTAACGTACCAGTACTGATATCAGTAAAGCGACAGTGACAATATAGAAAAGTAATGTACCAGTATACGTACTGACACCAGTTAAGCGACAGTGACACAATGTAGAAACAGTTATGTAACAGTACTGACACCAGTTAAGCGACAGTGACACAATGTAGAAAAAGTAATGTACAAGTACTGATACCAGTAAAGCGACAGTGACACAATGTAGTAAAAGTAATGTACCAGTACTGACACCAGTAAAGCGATTGTGACACAATGTAGAAAAAGTAATGTACCAGTCCTGATAACAGTAAAGCGATTTTTGACACAATGTAGAAAAGTAATGTACCAGTACTGATACCAGGAAAGCGAATGTGACACATTATGGAAAATTGGTTGTACCAGTACTGATACCAGTAAAGCGGTTGTGACACAATGTAGAAAAGGTAATTTTACAGTACTGATACCAGTAAAGCGATTGTGACACAATGTAGAAAAAGTAATGTTCCAGTATTGACACCAGTTAAGCGACAGTGACAATGTAGTAAATAGAATGTACCAGTACTAACATAAGTAAAGCGACAGTGACAATATTGAAAGTGTAATGTACCAGTACTGACACCAGTAAAGCGATAGTGACACAATACAGAAAAGTAATGTACCAGTATTGATACCAGTAAACCGATTGGGACACAATATAGAAAAAGCAACGTACCAGTATTGATACCAGTAAAGCGATTGTGACACAATATAGAAAAAGTAATGTACCAGTATTGATACCAATAAAGCGATTGTGACACAATGTACAAAAAGTAATGTACCAGTACTGACACAGTAAAGCGATTGTGACATAATGTAGAAAAGGTAATGTTCCAGTATTGACACCAGTTAAGCGACAGTGACCATTTAGTAAATAGAATGTACCAGTACTGACACAAGTAAAGCGATAGTGACACAATACAGAAAAAGTAATGTACCAGTACTGATACCAGCAAAGCGACAGTAACACAATATAGAAAAAAGTAATGTACCAGTATAGATACCAGTAAACCGATTGTGACAAAATATAGAAAAAGCAATGTACTAGTACTGACCCAGTAAAGCGATTGTGACACAATATAGAAAAAGCAATGTACCAGTATTGCTACCAGTAAAGCGATTGTGACAATATAGAAAAAGTAATGTACCAGTGCTGATACCAGTAAAGCGATTGTGACACAATGTAGAAAAAGTAATGTTCAAGTATTGACACCAGTAAAGCAACAGTGACACAATGTAGTAAAAGTAATGTACCAGTACTGACACCAGTAAACGATTGTGAGACAATGTAGAAACGTAATGTACCAGTACTGATACCAGTAAAGCGAATGTGACACAATATAGAAAGGTAATGTACCAGTATTGATACCAGTAAAGCGATTGTGAGACAATGTAGAAAAAGTAATGTACCAGTATTGATACCAGTAAATCGATTGTGACACAATCTAGAAAAAGTAATGTACCAGTACTTATACCAGTAAAGCGATTGTGACATAATGTAGAAAAGGTAATGTTCCAGTATTGATACCAGTAAAGCGATAGTGACACAATGTAGACAATGTAATGTACATGTTCTGATAACAGTAAAGCGACAGTGACACAATGTAGTAAAAGTAGTGTACCAGTATTGACACCAGTAAAGCGACAGTGACACAATATAGAAAAGTAATGCACCATTATTGATACCAGTAAAGCGGCAGTGACACAATATAGAAAAGTAATGTACCAGTATTGATACCAGTAAAGCGATTGTGACACAATCTAGAAAAAGTAATGTACCAGTACTGATACCAGTAATGCGATTTGGACACAATGTAGAAAAAGTAATGTTCCAGTATTGATACCAGTAAAGCGACAGTGACACAATGTAGACAATGTAATGTACATGTTCTGATAACAGTAAAGCGACAGTGACACAATGTAGTAAAAGTTATGTACCAGTATTGATACCAGTAAAGCGACAGTGACACAATGTAGTCAAAGTAGTGTACCAGTATTGACACCAGTAAAGCGACAGTGACACAATATAGAAAAGTAATGCACCATTATTGATACCAGTAAAGCGGCAGTGACACAATATAGAAAAGTAATGCACCATTATTGATACCAGTAAAGCGATTGTGACACAATATAGAAAAGTAGTGTTCCAGTATTAATACCAGTAAAGCGACAGTGACACAATATAGAAAAGTAATGCACCATTATTGATACCAGTAAAGCGACAGTGACACAATGTAGAAAAGTAATGCACCATTATTGATACCAGTAAAGCGATTGTGACACAATATAGAAAAGTAGAGTTCCAGTATTGATACCAGTAAAGCGACAGTGACACAATCTAGAAAAAGTAATGTACCAGTACTGATACCAGTAATGCGATTGGGACACAATGTAGAAAAAGTAATGTTCCAGTATTGATACCAGTAAAGCGACAGTGACACAATGTAGACAATGTAATGTACATGTTCTGATAACAGTAAAGCGACAGTGACACAATGTAGTAAAAGTTATGTACCAGTATTGATACCAGTAAAGCGACAGTGACACAATGTAGTCAAAGTAGTGTACCAGTATTGACACCAGTAAAGCGACAGTGACACAATATAGAAAAGTAATGCACCATTATTGATACCAGTAAAGCGGCAGTGACACAATATAGAAAAGTAATGCACCATTATTGATACCAGTAAAGCGATTGTGACACAATATAGAAAAGTAGTGTTCCAGTATTGATACCAGTAAAGCGACAGTGACACAATATAGAAAAGTAATGCACCATTACTGATACCAGTAAAGCGACAGTGACACAATGTAGACTGGACCTGTACCAGTACACGACTGTCAGCCACAAATGGACAAAGTCAGACACTGCGTTTCGAAAAGGTGGAAACACGTCTACTGCAAACCAAAAAGTCTGTCAACAAATCATATTCTCCTGGTTTGTCAGAAAGCACACTAAAGGCCTCTTGCTTCATAAGTAGGTCACTTTCACATTCTCCTTGTTTGTCAGAAAACACACTAAGGCCTCTTGCTTCACAAGTAGGTCACTTCCACATGCTCCTGGTCCGTCAGTCAGTAGATCACTTTCACATTTCCCTGGTCTGACATGTAGGTCACTTTCACATTCCCCTGGTCCCTCAGTAGGGCCATTTCGCACTCTCCTGGTTTGTCAGTAGGTCACTTTCACATTCCTCTGGTCTGTCAGTAGGTCACTGTCACATTCCCCTGGTCCCTCAGTAGGTCACTTTCACATTCATCAGGTCCCTCATTAGGTCACTTTCACATTACCTTGGTCCTTCAGTAGGTCACTTTCACATTCCCCTGGTCCCTCAGTAGGTCAATGTCACATCCCCCTGGTCCCTGTCGGTCACTGACACATTCATCTGGTCCTTCATTAGGTCACTGAAACATTCCCCTGGTTTATTGTTTGTTTGCTGCACTAAGCAATTTTCCGGTCCATAAATAATTGTGTCTGGACCAGACAATCCAATGATTGACATCATGAGCATTGATCAACGCAATTGGGATACGATGACTTTCAGGATAGATTTCTTGTCCTTAAAAACAAAGAGGTTAAGGTGTCAGATAAAAAATACATGGCGACAGATTATTTATGATAACAGACGTGCATGAAGGAGTGTATCTCCAAGGCTCACGACTTATCTTTCACGTTATTTTATTTCGGAGTGATCCCTTCCAACAAATACCAAAAAAGTCAAGGTCAAGGTTATGGCACGTGGACATGTGGACAGCGCATTGCAAGCTCCATCCAAGCGCGTGACACCGTCGGTAAACTCTCGGTAACATCGCTACCATCAGTGTCAGAGCGGGCATTACAAGAATCTTGAAATTTGCCATCTAACCTCAAATGTAGTAATGTTTGTACTTTTGTTTATGTCTAATACAGTTATTTTTTTAAAGGTTTACGATTGACAAAATTTCCCAGATGAATTAACCTCTTTGTTTGTTTGACCGGATTGGTTCGAGAATGCAGACGAACGAAGAATCAACAAGCTTCTGCCTAACATTCTATACCAATTACAGGATAGTTGTAATGAAAAAGAAATTCAAATTGACAAATAAAGAAAATAATAAAGCAAGGGTACTATCAGTATTCGTTGTCACGGCAGTCATCACTGGTTTGCAAACATAACAGTCAGTCGGTTCAACTCCTAGCATGGTTGTAGCCCAGTTGGGAGCTTTGACTGGTGGCAGCGATAGTTTTGAGAGCTCCGCGAACAGGATATCGCTGTGAGGAATTTGGGCGCACAGGCCACAAATTGAGTGAAGTTAATCAACGTTGGTCGCAGACAATAGCTGGATGGGTGACCGCGTTTGTCAGCTCGGCTCCTGAGAGTTCCTTGGGCATGTGTCCTGCTCCACATGGAAGGACACACTAATCAGACAAGTGACAACATATTTTCGAAATATTTTTTTTTTCTTTTACCCAGCAGTAAACGTGGATACCGGACACAATGTGATGGTGTTGTGAGTGTTACCCTTCATGGCAGCGTAGGTTGTATACTCCCCAGGGAGCTGAACATGAAAACTGATAATGTCCCATTAGCAAGGGTAATATTGGTAGCGCTGTGAGCAATACAAGTACATACATTATAAGTATTAGGATGGCACAGACCAGGGGAGAGAGGTTAG